CTAGTGTTCAGCAAATATTGGTCCTTTCACAAATCTTTGAGAACTCAGGCTTATCAAGTCAAAGATCATCTCTTGGCTTAAAAAAGTAAAACCAGATTAGGGGTGTTTGGCCCAGCGATTACAGCCCTGCCTGGGTGTGGCCCTGGCTGCTCTATCCCTGACCCACTTCCCACTCACACAGACCTTGGGAAGAGGCAGGGGGTATTTTAAGGGATTGGATTCCTGCCGCCCTGTAAGAGATCCAGACTGCAGCATGGCTCTAGCCTCAATTACACTGCAGGCATCTGGGGAGAGAACCAGCAGATGAGAACAAAACAAAGAGAAGCCTTAACTCCTTAAGTGGCAATACAAGACATCTTAAAAGAAGGTAGGGCTATAAAGCAGCAGGTAAGACCATGAAAATGAGAAGCAGCTATGGAAAAATTTCTGGATGACTTACACTTTTGGATGACTTTCTTCACGGTCATTTACAAACTTCATGTTTTGTGAAACTGTAAAGATGAACTCTGACAACAAATGGGCCAAATGCAAACTAATTTGGAAGTAAAACAACGCAAAGTCTTTTGCAGCAGGTGAACGGTTCCTTCTATAAATCCCTCACCCCCGGCTAGCCAGACTTGAAGCTTTCAGCAACTCCAGTTTTCAAACACACCAACAACAAAATTATACAGTTAATTTTTTCATTAGAATTATTAAATAACAGGAGGTTCAATAAATCGTTTGCCTTCGAAAGGAAAAAAATTACTTTCTAACACATGTAATATTTCTCCCGGTTCAAAGAAAATGAAGTTTATTTATTTACAAACTGAAAACTAAAATCTTTATGGCTCAAGAATGAAATATTTAAGAAACAATGATACAGAAAGAACAAGATTTGGTCTAATTCCAGTATTAAAAAATCGGTGGTGCGGTGGGGAGGGGAGGAGGGAGACAAAACATATGGCATAAAAGGGTAATACGGTGTTTCTTAATGGCACCAGCATCCCATATCAGAGTATCATTTTTGTTTTATTTTCCTTTTTAAAGATTTATTTATTTTTACTGGAAAGGCAGATCAGATTTATGGAGAAAAAGGACAAAGAGGAAGATCTTCCATCCACCAGTTTAATTCTCAAATGGCCACAATAGTCAGAGCTGAACCAATCTGGAGCCAGGAGCCAGAAGCTTCTTTTGGGTCTCCCACGTGGGTGCAGCATCCCAAACTCTTGAGCCATACTGCACTGCTTTCCCAGGCCACAAAAGCAGGGAGCTGGTTGGGAAGTGGAGCAACTGGGACACAAATCAGTGCTCAAAAGGGATCCCCAGTGCTTGCAAGGTGAGGATTTACCCACTGAGCCACTATGTTTGGCCCACCTTTATTTTTTTTTTAAGATTTATTTATTTTTATTGGAAAGATAGATCAGATTTACAGGAGAAAAGGAGAGAAAGACAGAGTACCATTTGGAATCCTAGTTGTTTCACTTGTAATTGAACTCCCTGCTATCATTCCTAAGAAAGCAGAATAAAATGTAGAAGATTTACATGGAGTTCTAGGATTCTGACTTCCGTCTGGCACACTCTCCTGGCTGTTATGGACATCATGAGAATGAAGCCACGAATGATCTCTTTCTCTCTCTCTCTGCCTTCCTTCCTCGCTCCCTCCCCCCTGTCTCTTAAACAAGCAAAATCTATTAAAAAGAAGAAGAAAAAACACTTTTTGGTATCAAGTACTAGTACTGCAACTCACTATAAGACTTTCAGGAAATGACTTAAACTCTAAAAACAGTAAGATTATGAAATCTGATGCTGCCTTCAGTGTTCCCCAAAACACGCACATACACAAACACACATGTACAAGAACATGTCCCCATGTCCCTTTGTTAAATAATTCTGTCATATTTCTGATGTGGTAGTAACTTAAGCCCCATTAAGAAACATTTTACTCACTATTGTGGCAAAATAGGTTAATCCACTGCCTGCCATTATCCCATCTGGGTGCTTGTTCAACTCTCAGCTGGTCTACTTCAATCCAGCTCCCTGCTAACCTGCCTGGGAAAGCAGCAGAAAATGTCCCAAGTGCTTGGACTCCTGCACCCACATGAGCGACCTAGAGGAAGCTCCTGGTTCTTTGCTTCAGCTTAACCCAGCCCTCATTGTTGCAACCATTTGGGGAATGAACCAGTGAACGGACTACCTCTCTCTATGTGTAATTCTTTCAAATAAATAAATAAATAAACCTAACTCTTGCTTTTAAATAAGTAAGTAATCTTAAAAAAAAAAAAAAAGATATTCATGGAGGGGGGATCCAACCCCACACATCATTCTCAGTACTTATGGCATTTACACAGCTTCATGACACCTGAATTAACCAAGTAAGCCTTTAAACCCTTACAATGAAACATTAAAATTCAATGTGGCTCTAATCTCTTCCTTTAAAAACATGGGACCCAACAGTCTGGCTTCAAGTATGGTTTAAAGAGGGGGCTGGGAAGGGGACGTGCAAAATGTATTATATTCCCCATCCAGCTCTTTCCTATAACCACTTAAAACATACACACTCACAAACACACACACACAAACCTCACAAGCCCATTGTAATACACTGAACCACTTTTGAATGCAACACTTAGCTCAGGCTTACTAGACTGACAAATAAAGGAAAGCACTTTATGAAGCCAATTTAATTGGGAGGTGACAGAAAACATACAGCCATTCTCTTTAGCCTTATCATTGAATTGGCTTCAGCTCCAATCTCTGGCAAATCCCACTCAACAGAAGAAATTAACCAGGTCAGCAGAACAGGTGCTACGTTGTGTCTGTCAAGGGCCTGGCATCACCACAATTACTTGCACACAATGAAGCAGTAATCTTTACAGATCATCTCTCCCAAGAAGCATACTGAGGAGGGGGAGGAAAACTAAAGGGAGGTAGACAGCATGGAGATGGGGGTGGGGAGGTGGGGAGGTGGGAAGATGATCGGAAGCAAAGAGAAAAGGCAAGAAAAGAAAATGAATGTGCAGCTGCTTTGCAGCTCAGCAGATGTCAGAACGTGATGTACGAGGCTAGGATAAGCTGTCGTAGCCCGCTGCCAAAGAGTGGTAAGTGATTAAAGCCGGCATAGTGCTAAGCACCATATTTAGAATCTGTGGGGTTTCAAGACTTGCACCCATTCCTTGCTGTGCTGCCAGATGTTGGCAACTGGTCCAGTTCCTTACTGACTGTGCATGGATGGCAGCAGTTGGAACAGTAGCAAAGCAATCTGGAATCCTTCCGGAGATGCTGTACATTAACAAGTGTCACCCATCATTCACCTTTACAGAACGCTGAAACAACTCCAATTTGCTGCCACTTCCCTCTTGGGAAACAGCCAAGATAAAGTTGTGCCTGGCAGCCCCATTTGTTTCACTCAGGTGTTTCAGCTGCCTTGCTGACCTCTATTAGTTTAAGTTTTAATTTAGATTAACCCCAGCACCCCAATTAACCAGCAAGGGGAAAAGCTAAAATGTGACTAGTCATAATTTTGAAATCAGAATTTATCGAAGCTAAAATTATTAATTGGGATGAAGGGCCAATCAAGTAATGCTATTTCTTCTTAAATAGACCTCTAGGCCAAAAAAAGAACTTTTCGAATAAGGAATGCCAATAGAAGCAACTTCCCCCAGTAATTTCAGTTTATTTTATTAAGCCTGTTTAATTTATGATGCACTTTCCATTGAACAATGTTCACTTCAATTAATGAGAACATTTCTGATTGTCTCCCGTGATCTCACACTATTATACAGCATTAATATCCCATATCAGGTACTTCCTAACCCACTCCAGAACAAAATAGAGTTCCTACTCCTCTGACAAATGGATACAAAGAAAAGAAGAAAAGGAAAAAAAGAATCAGGACTTCTGGCTGAGAACAGCTGAGGCCACACCAATTCTCTTGATTACTTCTCATCATTACTGATAAGAGTCACAGCAATAACTTTATCAAATATTACAGAATAAATGCAAAGATTAACAGTCTCTTTCTCTTTTTAGAATAAAACAAAAAGTATTGCCTGTACAGAACCACTTGTTTGGCTTTGCACATAACCTTCCTAAGAAGGTCCTCCTTTCACTTACACACACAATAAAGCCGCGGGGGCTAAACCTTCAACAAACACTTGCAAGTTCTTTCACAAGCTGACACACAGCATTCAGCAGAGAAGCAAATTGTCCTGATAAATAACAGTACAACAAAAACCGGCATATCACTGCTAAGCAGCATCCTCCATTCTCCACTATGCTACAACTTGGGAAATTATTTAAGTTCTTCATTTTAGACTTTAATCCAAATGTTTAGTCTACCTTAACAGTCACTAACATCATTAAAAAGCAAAAATAAACAAACAAAAAAACACCACACCAACAGGTAATGTCAGGACAAAAATTGAGTAGGAGCATTATTGAGAACTGGGTCATAGTTGAACTTTTTAACAATTCTTTCTGCCTTCTAAGAATAATACTATTATTATAATCAACAGCAAATAATCCTTTTCTCTCATACACATACACACACACACACACTCTCTATATATATATATATTATATTCAGCTGATTTAAACAGGCACAAAAAATATGTACAATAAGAGGCTTCAAAGGTAACAGAACCAGACGCACAACTCTCAAGAGTTCAGATCCCAGCCCTTTGGCTTCGTATCATTCCTAACAGCGCTGGGAGAAGCCACATAAATAGCTAACAGAAAGTCCTCAATTAATACTACCAAGCACAGCTAAGAAAAAAGAAACCATCTCACACACAGGAGTTCAAACTGTTTTACATATAATATACACTTATTGAACAACTAGGAAGGTAGCTACAGCTGTTTCCATTTCAGAATGAAAACAAAAAACATGCAGCAAATCCAGAATGACAGTCTACTATGAATGCAGTGCTGACTTCATTCTTCCAAAGCTGCCCCTTGTTCAGAGAAGTCTATCTGCTATTTTAACACGCTAAAACCATTTATCACAAAGAGTTAAGTCATACCTGGTGGTAAAAGTCATCATCATCAAAGATCTCTTCATCCAAATCCTTCAGGTGAGCATTGGCGGGGGCCTCAGGAAGGACCTCCTGCGTCAACAAGTGGAGGGAATCCCCATGAGGTTACAAACTAACACAACCACAAATCTAAGTCAAAAAAGCTCGTAGATAAAAATTTAAAAATAAAAACAGTTCAATGATAAAATGGGCAAACACATTAACAAGACAGCTGATTAAAAAAAGTCACAAATAATAACAAAAATATATTTAACTCCACTCTTACTAAATACATACAAATCAAGAGGAAAGGATAACTTTTTTTCATCAACAAGACTGCCAATTTTCAGTATGACTGGAGGGACTATATATTAACGCAGCTTTCAGAGGCAATTTGGCAACCTCTATCAGGATTTAGTGAATTTCCTTTAATGTAACATCTCCACTTCATGAAATCTATCCATATGCTTGCAAAAACACTCAAATTTTCTAGAATGCTTCCTGTAGCACTGTTTCTAATTCTGGAGACAACACAAACATGCATTGTTTGAATAAAGTAGTATACATCCATACAATGGAAGGTTCTGCAGCCATGTGCAAAAATGAAGGCAGTCTCATAAAACAGTATGGGCAAGTGTCTAGTATGTATTACATTTAAAAAGTAAATGCTAAGACCTTCTATATAATTGACATATTTTGTTTATAAACACATAAATATGGCCATACTATTTAGTTTAAAAAAAACACCATATTTGTGTCTGTGTATATGTGTATATATTAAGATGAATAGAAAAATCCCTGAAAGCTTGTCACAACTATCAATACTGACTAAACACAAGCAGAATTTTCAGAGTAGGGGCAGATTTCATTTTCCCTTTTAAAATCTTAAGAACATAAAAAAATTAACACATGACTATTTCTTCTAGCATATATAATATAAAAATATTCCCTTCAAACAATGATATTTGACTATTCCACTTTCAGGTCCTTTTCTGGAATACTAGCAACATTAAGCTTAAAATGCATCCCTGCTTCCATACTGACATTCCCACAAAGTCAGAGTGAATTGTAAAAAATTGGATTATGAACGTTTCTATTACCAGTTTCCTGCATCGAACTCAAATCTCAGAAGCTGACACACAAGAATTAATGAAAACCTCATTTTTAAAACTTCCTCCTTGCACATAATCCCAGGCTCTCAATAACCCAGTCAAGTATACCTGTTTTCCTTTCTCTAACTTCTTATCCCAAGGCACGATACCTGCACATTTCTGAGTTAGCCTCCCCAGTGCTGCTCCCGTAGTTACAGAGTTCTTACCGGTTCCCCGGGCAAACTCTCCGGGACAGGCTGAGGTGCCAGTTCAGGTTTGCCAAGAACTCGGTAGACAGAGCGCTTGGTCTGTGTCCTTCGAAGTAATCTTTCTTTGTCCATCAGAATATGATCAATCTGAGTCAAGATCGAGCGTTCAAAGGCACCAAAACCCTGCAACAACATTAACCGATGTCAGATAATGCAGAAAGTCGGTGCTGAAGACAGCTACATTAGTTTCTTTATCTTTCTGTGTCAGCAAAGAAATAGACAATTGCCTTTGCAGAAGAGGCTTTCTGTTACAGATGGACTTTGTGAGTGGCTGCAACTGTTCTCCAGAGGAAAAAAATTAGACTTAAGCAGATTAAATCACTTTTGTTTGCAGATTGACTTTTGCTCCTTTAATAACTGTTTTAAGACCCATTTCTTTATTTTGTACATTCAATACTTAAAACACAAAGACATCCATTTTAAGAATAAAATATTTTTCTAACAAAGTTAAAATCCCAAATCTGAAAAATACAAACCGCAGCTGGCAGTTCAGCATATTCTGCTATAGAAATGAGTGATGCAGAATAAAGCCTGGTTTCAAACCCCCTGTCCTCTGCCCAGGCAGCCTCAGCCTCCACTCCCTCTCTCCTCATCCCCCACAGGTCCCCAGCTAAAATAAAACCTTCTGCACGTTGAGGAAAAAAAAAAAGACTGTTAATTATTAAATCATAACAATATCCAGAAAATTTTCTTAAAATTGCTTCAGGTTGCTACCTACCTTATGTGGGCGCATGCCCACACACACACACAACTTGCCTTCCCAAGTTTTCCAGAAGCCAACTTGGTCTTATCATGCCATTTCTGAAGTGTGCGGTTCCTGTAGACAGTGAAATCGGCAAAGCGCTTTGCCATGAAGCTGGGATAGTCATCCATCTGCAGCTTCCTCTTCCGTGGGGCCCTTCTCTGTTTCTTCTCTTCTACCACCTCTTCATCTTCACTAGAAATCTCCTCACTGGAAAATCAGTAAGAACATGAGCTCCGTATCAACGAACATTATGCAAACAAAGAACAGGGCTCCACAAAGGAAAATACTGAAGTCTTTCCTATTCTAAGTTTTTACAACTAAGATTTATTTATTTGCTTTTTTTTTAAAGATTTATTTTTATTATTATTTTTTTATTGGAAAGGCGGATATACAGAGAGGAGAGACAGAGAGGAAGATCTTCCATCCGATGATTCACTCCCCAAGTGAGCACAACGGCCGATGCTATGCCGATCCGAAGCCAGGAGCCTCTTCGGGTCTCCCACGCGGGTGCAGGGTCCCAAAGCTTGGGCCGTCCTCGACTGCTTTTCCCGGGCCACAGGCAGGGAGCTGGAAGGGAAGTGGGGCTTCTGGGATAGAACCGGCGCCCATATGGGATCCCGGGCGTGCAAGGCGAGGACCTTAACCACTTGCGTCACCGCGCCGGGCCCTATTTATTTGTTTTAAAGTCAGAGAGAGGCAGGCAGAGATCTTCCACCTGCTGGCTCACACCCCAGATGCTCCTAATGAGCATTCAAATACACTCTACTAGAATGGCTTTTTTATTTGGGTGGAAAGAATGTGCTTAAGGTGAAACACTTATGTGTCTTTTCAAATAAATATCAAATTGCTCCATTAGGGATGGGAACAGCATAGTGGTATATAAGTTAATCTTTTCCTTGTGACACTGGCATCCCATATGGGCTCTGGTTTGTGTCTGAGCTGCTCCGCTTTCTTTATTTTTTTTTTCTTTATGTTTTTTTTTTTTAAGATTTATTTTTATTATTTTTTTATTGGAAAGGCGGATATACAGAGAGGAGAGACAGAGAGGAAGATCTTCCGTCCGATGATTCACTCCCTAAGTGAGCCGCAACGGCCGATACTATGCCGATCCGAAGCCAGGAGCCTCTTCCAGGTCTCCCACGTGGGTGCAGGATCCCAAAGCCGTGGGCTGTCCTCGACTGCTTTCCCGGGCCACAGGCAGGGAGCTGGAAGGGAAGCAGAGCCACCAGGATAGAACCGGCGCCCATATGGGATCCTGGGCGTGCAAGGCAAGGACCTTAACCACTGTGCCACCGCGCCGGGCCCACTGCTCCGCTTTCAATCCAGCTCCCTGCTTATGTACAGCCTAGGAAGGCAGCAGAAGACAGCCCGAGTGCTTGGTCCCCGACACCCATGTGGAAAACCCAGAAGCAGCTTTTGGTTCCTGGTTTCAAACAGGCTCAGCTTCAGTCCCATGGCCATTTAGGGAGTGAACCAGCTCTTGAAAAGACCTCTCTCTGTCTCTCTTTATCTCTCTGTAAAATCTGCCTTTTAAGTAAAAATAAATAATTCTTTTCAAAAATATTTTGAGGTTCCAATGTGTGGTATAATATATTAAGACACCACTTGCAATGCCAGCATCCCCATAAAGAAACTAGTTGGTTCCAGCTGTTCTACTTCTGATCCATCTCCCTGCCAATGAGCCTTGGAAAAGCAACATAAGATTGCCCAACTGTGAACACGCCAGGCTCCCAAATGGGTGCCGCTTCTAATCCTGGCAGTCCCACTTCCAATCCAGATCCCTGCTTGTGGCCTGGAAAAGCAGTTGAGGACAGCCTTGGGACCCTGCACCCGCATGAAAGACCTGGAGGAGGATCCTGGCTCCTGGATTCAGATCAGCACAGCTCTAGCCATTGCGCCGCTTGAGGAGTGAATCAGCAGACGGAAAATTTTTCTCTGTCTCTCCTCCTCTATGTATATCTGACTATGCAATAAGTAAATCTTTTTAAAAAATGTTTATGAGGTAAGGAAATTATAAAAATAAATGAAGCTGCAAAATCACTGCTAGAAAAATCTATGAATCACAACTGTACTATCATGAACAGATCTTTAAAAATTAAACACACTGGGCTGGTGCTGTGGCAAAACAAACTAGACCTCACCTGCATTCCTTACGGGCACCAGAACAAGTCCAGGCTGCTCCACTTCCAACTCAGATCCCTGCTAATTTGCCTTGAAAAGCAGTGGAAGATGGCCCAAGTGCTTGGGCCCTGGCACCCACAGGGCAGACCCAGAAGAATCTCCTGACCAGCCCAGCTCCAGCCACTGAGGCCCTTCAGGGAGGGAACCAGCAGAGGGAAGACATCCCTCTCTTGCTTTCTGCATCTGTAACCCTGCCTTTCAAATAAAAATAAACATTTGAAAAAAACATTTAACACATAACCATATTTCTATGAATTCAATCCTCAAATCAAAATGCCTCTCTGTAACTCAGGAAAGGAGAGTCGCACTGTACCCCCTTTTCTTTTTAGTTGCTATCCTCCCAGGGACCCACAAGGTAGACCTGCAGAGAACATTACTGGATTAAATCAGAAAACTCAAAATTGGGCAGGCGTTCGGCACAGCAGAGTAGATGCTGCTTGCAATACCCAAGCCCACGTGCCCAGGTTCAAGCTCTGATTCCATGTCAGACCCCAGCTCCCTGCTAAGGCACTCTGGGGGGCAGCAGGCAATGGTCATGTATTTGGAACTCCCTGGTTTCTGGCTTCAACCTGGCCCAGCTATGTCCATGGTGGGCATTCAGGGAGTGACCCCTCAGTCGGTGGATGATCACTCAGTCTTCCTGTCTCTCTCTCTGCATTCCAAAAATACAATACAATACAATAAAAACTCAAAAAGAAGGCCACAGGACTGGCCCTAAATTGTACAATCGGCCATCTGTTTCTGCCAATTCCATATCTATGAGCACCATATTTACATAATTCAACCAACTTAAGACCGAAAAAAACATGCACAGAACATATGCAGTCTTTTTTCCTAACAATATTTCCTAACAAATGGAACAACTATTTATATAAGTTGGTTTTACTTCATAAATGATGGAAAACAACCAGATAAAGAGAAAATAAATAACTCCACAGCTCCATGTCCTCTCACCTTTCTGCTTCAGGTTTAGTCCCATCTACGAGGTACCTAGTGTCAGGGTACTGACAGAGCAACTCCTCCTGAAGATCCACCAATGACCTCAACAATGCTTTAAGGGCCTTGTGACCTGAGAAATAAAGCAGAGCAGAAAAGACCATTTTTTGATTACCTACAATTCTCCCAAGTATATGATGCCTCTAACTCCTGATTCTTGAGCAGTTCTGGCTGGTGACGGTGAATACAAGGGACTAAGAACCCTCTAAAATACCGGATTTCCCAGTAGAATAACAGTATTCATTTCATAGGACTGTTGTCAAGTACCAGCAAGATAATACACATAAGGAGCTTAGAAAAGTATTTACAAGTAAGTCTAGCACATTATCAGTTCTTCAATTTATTAAGTTTCACCAGTTCCCTCCTTGCCTACCTTCATGACCATTCAATTGTTCCTCTGGAGTTAGATCCTTGAGCATCACCACTGTATCAACTCCTTCAACAATCCCTCCTCTTTTAAAGAACACTCCTTTAGCCCGGGATCTACACCGCCTCTCCCCCTCCCCCCGGAGAGCTCATCTGCATCCAGTTTAAGCGGCCACCTCCTTCACTCAATCTCACAACACATACCCATATGGAAAGTTCTTGTTCACACACAAAAACCTAAACTAATGGCTTTCTTTTCATAGTAGTGAACTGCCTTTTAAAAAATCTGTGCACCAAGAACATGTTGCCATCTAGTTCTCGCAGCCAACAGCATGGATCTGTCACGCAGCTGGTTGGGTTTAGGTTTACAGTCTATGGCTAAGAACTCCTGGAATAAAAACTGGACCCCCAAGAACTGAATCCCTACTTTCTGCAGCAGAACAATCCCACTAAACAGGCTAAAAAATCCTACTAACTAGACACTAAGTATCACCATTTATGTGCTGAGAGCTCTCAGACTTCTCTCCTATAATCAAGCCTTCACATTTCCAGCTACAACTGCCAGAAAAAGCATTCCATGGAAGGTCATACCTTCAAATACATGTCACGTAAGAAACAAAGCTTTTTTTCTTCCTAATATTTCTCCCTTGTCTGAATTTTCTTCTCTGTTGAATGTATTGTTATAGATCACGGACTTCGGCTGCATTTTTTCTATATGTTTAGTTGGCTGATAAATCCTGTACTTTCCATTCTTATCATCTCTGCTAATGGTAATCTCTGGCCATGCTTCTAACTTTTCTTCCACATAATCAAAATCTTACAAACACCCCTACTTTCATTCAATTATCCCTATATTCATTTTTTTATTTTATTCTCCACACTAACTTCAACTTTGATTACATGACTTTGATAAGTCTTAGTCTCTCTTTTCTGCTTGTTTCTACCTAGTACAGCATGAGCAGCCTTCTCACTATTGTGCATTCCAATGCCATCTCATTAACAGGACATCAATACATGAGTTAGAAAAGCTCTCCAAATACCTTACACAGTAACATCCTATTTCAATCTAAGGCTAGAAATTAACCTGCCTGAGAAAGCCTTCTTCAACTGGACAGAAGAAACTTGACCCAATGATAACCTGCAATATAACACCATATAACTATAACTTGCTTGAAATAAGACCCTTGGGCTCAGTCCAGAGACATAGTGGCTAAAGTCCTTGCACGTGCCACAATCTCATATGAATGCCAGTTCATATCCCGGTTGCTCCACTTCCCACCCAGTTCCCTGCTTGTAGCCTGGGAAAGCAATAGAGGATGGCCCAAAGCCTTGGGATTGGAACCTTGCACCCATGCAGGAGACCAGGAAGAAGCTTCTGGCTCCTGGCTTCAGATCAGCTCAACTCCAGCCTTTGTGGCTCCTTGGGGAGTGAACCAGTGGATGAAAGATCTTTCTGCCTCTCCTTCTCTCTGTATATCTGACTTTCCAATAAATATAAATAAATACTTCCTGCTAAAGACCTGGGAAAGAAGGGGGGAAGAGGTGGAGGAATGGTCCTGGTATTCAGGCTCTTAAACCCACAAGGGAGACATGGAGGAAGCTCCTGGTGCTGAGCTTCATTATGGCCCAGCTCTGGCCGCTCAAACTCTTTGGGGAGTGGAAAGGAAGATCTCTCTCTCTGTCTCTCCCTCTTCTCAGTAACTCTTTCAAGTAAAATAAATAAATCTTTAAAAAAAACAAAAATCTTCCACCAGGTAAATATAAAGATACTTATGAAGAAGAAAATCGCAATACAGATTTATTCTGTCAGCTTTGGGGAAATGAATTAAATATAACCCAGGTGAAAAGTAAATAAGAAAGAGACAATTTAAAGGCAAGAATATGCTATGTGTACATGTAGAACAATGCAAAATTATGTAAATATACAGGACATTTTCAAAGAAAGGAGAGCAAAGATTACAAATGATAACTGCCAATACTCTCATCACAGCCATCCGAGAAAAGAGCGAAGAACTGTTCACACATCTCCTCTAGCAGCTGAAGTCCAGAAAGTGTCTGTTATAGCAAAAGCCTTAATAAGAAATGAAACAGACACTAGTACTTGGAAGAGGGCCCATGAAAATACAGAAATCTCATTTCATCCAAATTCTTTAAAAATATGAACCGTTTTTACCTTCTCCTCCAGAAATGACATCTTAAGAATAGTAATACCACACGTTAATTTGCATCTGCAGAGCAGTTTTTAATATTCCCCAGATCAAATATGGAAAATATTTGACCTTGTAAAAAAAAGTCAATTGGGGAAAAGAAAAAATACTGTATAATTCCACTTATATGAAGTATCTTAATAGTCATTCTATATCTATACAGAGACACAAAATAGAATAGCAATTTCCAGGGGGTGGGGAGAAGAGTAGAGATGTCATGATTGCAGGTGTCCAACTTTGAGACAATGGAAAAAATCTGATATGGACAGTAGAGACAGTTGCATAATAATCTGAACATACTCATGCCAACAAACTACAGACTTAAAATTATTAAAAGGGCAAGTTTTTGCTATGTTATATATATTTTACTATTACTGAAAAACTTTAAAAAAAATCCCCAGACCATGATATAATAATTCTATCATCTCAATTCATCTCAGTAGAGACAAAAATCATAATTCTTTAAACTGAACCTATTCAAAAGGAACAGGAAAAAACAATGGAATATTCATTCAGCCTTAAAATGGAAGGAAACTGACATTCATGCTACAACACAGATGAACCCTGAGGATATTATACTAAGTTGAATAAGCCAGTCACAAAGCGACAAGCACCGCAGGATTCCACGCACATAAGTACCTGCAGAAGTCACACCCACATATGGGGACAGGAAGTAGAATGTGAACCAGGGGCTAGAGGAGGGGAAGAGAGGAAGGTATGGCATCAATTCTGCAAGATGAAACTTTTGGAGACTGGCTGCACAACAATATGAATATGCTTAACACCACTGAACTGCAACCATAGAAAGAATTAAAACAGTGACTTATGTGCCTTTTTTTCACAATGAAAAACTTAAAAGGACAGAAAAAGCAAAATATCTGTCCCTTACTTCCTCTAGGCACATACATTCATGAACTGAAATATGAAATAAAAATTGATGCAAGGAAGAAGTTAAAAAACAGTCTGTAATGTTTACAGCTTCCTGCCCCTAAAAAGCAAGTGATAATTTGACTCACACAGCATAACCAAGAATTGTCAAAACATCCAATAAATGACCGTAACTTTCAAGAGCCACTTTCAAGTAGCCACGAGTCTTTTTATTTAGGTCAGTTTTTAAAAACCTACTGCTCATATATTAGACAGCGTATCAATCCAACAAGAAAGCAGAGAACCAGTACCAGTAAATCAAAGTGTGCCTTTCTGTTAATACTCTCTCATACACCCTTTCACCCACTCAGAAAGTAACCCTGAAGTACTTAAGCTCCATTCTGGGATAGCACCATCAAGCATCAAAGTGTCAAGAGACCTACCAGAAATGAAATCTGCAATTCTGTGCTTCTAATCACCAAAGAGGAAAAAAAGAAAAAAAGAAAGGGGGGTTAGGGGGACAGCAATATTTAGCAAAGTAGATGTCACCAATGGCCCAACAGACAAGTCAACTTCCTCTGAAGAGACTTAAGAGGACAGAATCCATTCTTACTTCTTGATGATGCTGGGTCACAGTTCATTCTGGATGCTTTGTAATCCAGAAGAGATGCAGGGCAGTCCTGTGGTGGAGGTGAAGACCTCCTTAGAGCCAAGCACCAACTCCATGGCAAATCCTTCCCAGCCAAGATAAAAAACCAGTAAAAACAAAATATCTCTATTATTTATATAGGACTGGATCCAAGTTGTTCAACCCTGTGAATAGTAAATGGAATGGAATAAACAGTTTCTAACTCATCTTGGATCTCTTTCCTGTTATAGAAGAGTTGAAAGTTAAGAAAAGTAGTAAAGATGCACATACTTTCTTCTCTAGCCTTTTCGGCATGTGGCCACAAAGCAAATGAGATTGTCAAGGGCATATATGTTTATATTGCCCTACACGGTTCATTTCCAGAGGCCTTTCCCTTACAAAGAGATTAAGAAGGACACGTGCCTCTTGATATTACCCCCACTCACCCCAAGCATCTGATCGGCTGCAGGGATAATCTTGAATACAGAATAAATGGAAAAAGTACTTTCCTGAGGGTCAGGAGCCCCACATTCTACCTGACACCATCACTACTAAGTCGTGTTATGCTGAGTGGACCAGTGTAATCTCTTGAGTCTCTCATCTATAGAATGTAGGTAATTCTTTGCCTACTGATCTCATAGAAATAAGGAAAGAAATAACGTGTTATCATTTATTAATGTATTTTGTAATTTTGTTAAAAAGTTGCAGAAGGGAAGACATATTACTATCCTAACCACTGTCATCTTTCACATGAACTAAATCCTTCACACTCCGCTTGAAACATATAGCAGTGAGCCTGACCTGGTATTCAGAGATTCCTGTATTAGGTATTCATTTACATGCTACACATCTGCAAGCATTCTGTATATAAAATGTCACCAATCTAAAAACCATTTTCATCTAACAGCTTTATATTTTTCCTTGATTCATCCAGGCTGCTTGACATAAACAAAACTGTAGTCAGAAGAATAAGTTTGGACATGGCACACTGTTCATTAGTTAGAT